CTGTGGGTGGAAACCTCACTAACCAGAAGCCAGAATCACCCTCTTCTCTGCATGTGCTGCCATGATGGAAGGCTGGCACAGCCCCCACAGGTGGGAGAATGTGTCGGCCTCTTCACTGCTGGAGTGTTTGGTTGCTTTTTCCCCCCTTTATAGTCACAGGTTTAGGAAGGGGTCGCTCAAGCCAAGCCAAGCAAATAAACAAATTACTCGGCGACCCTACAGCCCCTTGTCTTTGAATGCTTGCCACGTCATAGTAAAATTCTGCAGATTACACAGTTTTCTCTCATGTGTCTTAGTGCTTTGAACAAATGCAAGTTCAGGGGGGCCCAGAGGCTGGTATTTGCCCTGCATTCATCGGCAAAGGTGTTCTTAATCTCAAGCCTGTGGCTTAAAAACCTGATTTTACTAAGTGGTCCTAAGTGGTCTTGCCCTGCCTGAACTTTTTTTTTTTTTTTTTTGGCCTCTTTTCAAAAGTCCATTTCCATCTAACTGGTGCAGACCCGGTTTCCAGAGTTACAGGTACCTGTCAGTCTCCAAGTGGGTGCTGGGAATTGAACCTGAGTTCTCTGGAAGAGCAGGCAGTGTAATCACTGAGCCACATCTACAGCCCCAGGAAGTGGCACTTTATAACAGGGCTCTTTTTGGTATCCCTGCCTGCTGGTTATATCTGACAGGACACAAATAGCAGACACATGACTCACATAAACAAAGCAGACACGGCTAAAAAGAACTGACAAGACGCAGGTGCAGACATCAAACAGCATCACCGCGGCGTCTGCTCCCTCCGCCACCCTGTGCTGGCCTCGTTCTCACAGCCAGGATCTCTCCACAGGCGATGAAGCCACTCCGCAGAAGGGCTCCGGTCAGGCCAGCGTGGGGCGGGGTTCCCTGAACCAATCCCGGGAATGAAATGGACACTAGGTCATGTGCTGACTCCTACATAAAGATGGAGAAATCAGAGCTCGCACCAAAATAGTGGGGTAAATATGCCAAAAAAAAAATAATAATAACCTTGGTGGCGGTGGCGGCTCACACCTTTAGTCCCAGGAAGCAGAAAAAGCCAGAGGATCTCTGTGTTTCAAGGTCAGCCTGATCTACAGAGTGAATTCCAGAACGGCCAGGGTCCCACAGAAAAACCCTGTCTCAAGAAACCAATAAGATAATGAGGAGGAGGAGGATGGTGGTGATGGTGGTGGTGGTGAAGGTGATGATGGTGGTGGTGGTGGTGCTGGTGATGGGGATAATGATGGTGATGATGATGATACTGGTGATGGGGACAACGATAGTGATGACGATGATATGGTGATGATGATGATGACGATGAAGGCGGTGGTGACGACGGTGATACCAGAAGCTGCAGTCGTAAGTGTGCTGGTGCCACCTTCCTGTTTATTATAGGTTTATTACAGGTACAGCCATGCCCTCAGAACAGAGTTTGGACTACCTCTCCCTCCTTAAAATTACACCGTTTCACAGAAAAAACATTTTATGCCCCTTGGTTTCCCATCCTATTGCCAACATATAAATAGGCTCGCTGCAAGATAATAGAGTTGGGGTTTTCTGGAGACTGAGATCCTTGGAGGATTTTAGTTGAACTCACAGCTGAGCTTTCCAAATGAGCTCGTGAATCCTAAGACAGTCGGAAAGGAAGAGGCGATTTAGACCTAAATTGGAGAAACCTAATCAGGAAGTCTCGCGTTATAGGCGGTGAAGTCATGTGGGCTGCGGTCCATGCCTCGCTTTTCTGTACCGTCGATACGGCGCTGAAATGAAAGCTGTCTGTTTAGTATGGAAAAGGCCAGACACAGAACTAAGAAAGTGGGCTGGAGAGACGGCTCCATGGTTAAGAGAGGGTGTTGCTCTTGCAGAGGACCAGAATTCACAACCAGTGTTAGACAGCTCCCTACCTGTAACTCCATCTCCTGGTCTCTGAGGGCACGTAAACATGTGTGTGCTCTCGTTCACATAAAGAAAACGATGCTAAGTCTTTTATTTAAAAAAACCTAATATATGTATGTTTTGGGAGTTAACCAATTAGTGCGCTCTCACATGGAAGGGTTCGGAAGGAGGAAAGGGGAGGGGAAAACTGTAGTTACATTATAATCTCAAATTTGTAAAAATGATTTTAAAAAGAACAAAACTAGTGGAACAATCTAAGTATTTTTAATAGCCAAATAATGTCACTGGTATTGTGGTCTGGAAATTAGGAAGATGGCTGCTGCCCCATCCTATCTGCACTAGAATGCTCCTGCTGTGTCTTGTTCTCATTGAATTGAAAGCTCATTTCACCATTTAAAACTGCTCCGCTAGCTCAAGAGCCCTCCCCAGAGCACGGCAGACACTGACACAAGCTTACTGATGACTGTGCTTTTTAGACAGAAATCATATCCTGAAGATACTTAAAATTCAAAAACAAACGATTGCTTACTATGGATGAGAAGAGAGAGAATAATTCATGAATTCCAAGAGGCCAAGGGAACTCTTCGACATTTAATTATACTTAATGGACCATTTTTTTCACCTTCTAGAATTTAGTCTGCCTGTGAACTTTCCTGTAGGAAATACAGACACCGTAAGTGGACTGAATCAGTGGAACCCACGTAGGAAAGCCCTAAGTGCACATGCTCCAAATACCATCCTACTACGATTCTCTATAGAAACAAAGCTTAGCATAGCCGGGCGTTGGTGGTGCACGCCTTTAATCCCAGCACTCTGGAGGCAGAGGTAGGTGGATCTCTGTGAGTTCAAGGCCAGCCTGGTCTACAGAGCGAGTTCCAGGACAGCCTTCAAAACAATACAGAGAAACCCTGTCGTCCCCCCCAAAAAAAAGAAAAAGAAAAGAAAGAAAGCTTAGCAGAGACGAAAACTACTGAAGCACATCTGAAAACAGTCAGTGTGCCACCAGAAACTACAGAAGCCGTTTCCTGGGAAAGTCTAGGTATATAATAAACACTGGTGAACATGAACTCGCATATGCACATAGACACAGAAGATGACAAAAGTTGAAGGAAGCAGCTCTCCTGAAGATAGAGTGGGTTGGATGGTTTCCTGTCCACACTCCACCCACAGCTCCCAGCATCCCCACTGATAGTTACAGCGAGACTGCTCGCATGCACTCTGAGCTGGTCTACACAGGACGCTAACACAACGCAGCTTCATCCAACTCCCTTCAACCTGTTCCCCACACCCCTTCCGCCCCTTGGATGGAAACGTGGGAAACTTTTACAGCTCCCGCCATTCCCTCAAGTTGTAAAAATAACTGACTTCCATATTTTTAGGTCCTTTGTGTCCAGTTTAAGTTGGCTTCCCTGAAACACGTTTCTAGCTTTCAGGATGGAGTGTGAGGTTTGTCTCTTCTCCCCTCTTCTCTCTCCCCTCTCTTCTCCTCCTCTTCTCTCTCCCCTCTAGTATGTACGTGTGATTCGCCTGAACGCGTGTCTGTGCGCCAACCGTGCGCAGTGTCCACAAAGGCCAGAGAGGGTCCCCTGGAACCGGAGACACAGACAGTTGTGAGCCCCCAACTGGTGCTGGGAACCAAACCCAAGTCTTCCTCTGGAAAAGCAGGCGGTGCTCTTAACTTCCGAGCCACCTCCCCAACCCTCTTCTCCCGTGATCACAGTGAACAAACGGCAGAGATGGGGTTCGAACCCAGATACTCTGGAGCCAGAGATCTTAACGTGGGCCTCGTGTCAGCAGCCTGCCGAGTCTTCCCACAGCCCAGTTGCCAGCAGTCCACCCCTGTGGAGGAGACTGTTAAACAAGACCCTCAAACAGAGCCCGTGTCTGAGGCTGGGCGTTGGTGGCGCAGGCCTTTAATCCCAGCACTCGGGAGGCAGAGGCAGGTGGATCTCTGTGAGTTCGAGGCCAGCCTGGTCTACAGATCGAGTTCCAGGACAGCCTCCAAAGCCACAGAGAAACCCTGTCTCGAAAATAAACAAAAACAAAAAAAACAAAAACAAAACAAAACAAAAAATAGAGCCCGTGCCTGGCCTAGGAGAAGCGTTGCCTCTGCCACACCCCTTCGGTGCTGAGAGAAAATGCCCTACCCAAACTCTCCCCCCTCCCCCTCTCCTTCCCCCCTACTCTCTCATTTGCACCACTGCCAGCGACAGCTGGTTCCAGCTGCAGGCTCTGGTATGCGTGTCACTTTCCTAGTCTCCAGAGCTGCAAGAGATGCACCTCAGGAAACCACAGCTGTTCCTCACAGGGGAGCAGCGTCTTGAATCCTTTCATCAGGAACTCTGACACTGACAGCAGGAGTGAGCAACGGGGCTCACCAAGGAAGGGCTAGCGCACAAACTGCTTAGGATAACCTAACCCAGAAGCTTCCTCAGGACCTGGTGGTATTTGAACTGGGTTTTACTGACACTTGGGCCTTTGTCCACATTTCTGAGGTAACAGAATCATGGTTACATGTTACACCCTAGTATCACCAGGCATAGTAGCTCACATCTGTAATCCCAGCTCTTGCGAGGCTGAGCCTGTCCTACAGAGCAAGACCCTGGGTGACCTACCCACAAGTTGTCGTTCTGGAAGCCTGATGGGGGGACGTCCTTCTGTTTATGTGTTTCTCTTATTGGTTGATGAGTAAAACGCTGATTGTCCAGTAGCCAGGCAGGAAGTGTAGGCGGGGCTCGAGATGAGGAGAATTCTGGGGAGAGGAGGCAGAAAGTGAGCCTCGAGGGAGACACCATGTAGCTACCAGGAAGATAGGACTCCAAGCATTCTCTGGTAAGATAAGGCCATGTAGAAATGCATATATTAACAGTTATGGGATAATAATTAGGAGAGATCTGGCCGGTAAGAACCTTGAGCCATTGGCAAAACAGATAACAATTAATAGAAGCCTCTGTGTATTTATTTGGGGGCTGTGGGACCAGGCAGGAGAGAAACTCTGTCCACAGGAGCCCCCATCAATGCAGGCAATTGTCACTACTGTGGTTGCCTGGCATAAGATAAGCCCCTGCTGTTGAAGACACCAAGGACCTTGATTTCAGAACATGGAGAAATCTAGCAACAGGTAGGCCAGAAGCTTCCTCCCTGCTGGCTAGCCCACACGGCGCCAGAATGTGGGGTGCTAAGTCCTGAGAATAAACAACTGTGGGATGCCCGGCTATAAACAGGACATCTGGACAGTCTCCTCACCCTCTCCAAGCCTCGGGGGACTTGGGGAAAAAGGGGAAGGAAGACTGTAAGCTGGAGGACAAGGAGGGTAGAGGTGAATGCCAGCTTCCGAGCGTGACATAACTGTGGCATCCTCGGACTCACAGCAGTCATGAGTGCCCGCACAAGATCTCCACGAGACTGGGCCATCAACTCCCTGGCATGGAGGAGTCTCATGGGGCCCCACTCCCCCTGAGCATCCATGGGCAATTACTGGTTTCTGGGGGTGCCGGGGGAGGGGGACACATTTAGGTCAGTAGTATCTCTAGTAAAGTGCCCATGCTCCTACAAACCAACCCTCACCCATGTCCATGCCTCTACAAACCAACCCTCACCCATGTCCATGCCTCTACAAACCAACCCTCACCCATGCCCATGCTCCTACAAACCAACCCTCACCCATACCCATGTCCCTACAAACCAACCCTCACCCATGCCCATGCTCCTACAAACCAACCCTCACCCATGCCCATGTCCCTACAGACCAACCCTCACCTATGCCCATGCTCCCATAAATAAATGAAAGTCATCAGGTCACAGACAGAGAAGGAGGTGGGGGTAGGGCAGGGAGTTGAAGTGTGTGTAGTCAGGAGAGCAAGAAGATTAACAGGAGGGGGACAAATGGTAACTGGAATAAACGGAATAGAAATACATAATGCAATGTATAAAATGTGACCTTGAAACCCACTATTACACAGAACTAATAATGCTAACAAAGACACTTTTAAAAGCTGCCCCAGAAAACAAGCAGAAATGCTAACTCACTGAAGACCAGTGAATGCCAGGCTGAATTTGGACTACTGGGATAAGCTAATACTGAACAATTCTCATTCTCTAAAAACTTACCCTAGCTTAATAATGACAAGAAAATAACCATTGAGAGGAGACCCTTCCAACTGCCTATCAGCCTCACATTCCCAGGTTCTTATAGCCCAAGCTCCAACGCCCGGCTCACAGAGGAATCGCCATCTCACGAACTGGTCCTTCTCAATGGGATTACTTAAATGAAACTGGAAACTGTCTCTTTAAGCCTTAATTCGGTCCCTTGAGATGGCACAGGACGGAACACAGACCATCACTCGTATAACAGACTCAAGTATGTGAAACCACCATTCCCCATCATCTTCTGCGTTTCCTTCAGTCTCTACCCCGTGTGATGTGGTTCCACGGCGTGCAACGTTCTGGAACTCTCTGCACCCTGCCGGGGGTCCCCACTTGCAGCACCCGTAGCTGAAGAAAAGGTGATCTAGCCAGCGGAAGGGCGAACCCCATCTCCTCTTCACCACATCAGGCTTCTTCGTCAGGAAAACCCAAAGCAGAGTTTCCTGCGCCCTCGCCACGACAGCAACCTCACTGATAGTAAACCTACTGCCAACTGCACCGCCTACGTCTTGTCCAGACAGGCGTGTGTGTGTATGTGTGTGTGTGTGTGTGTGTGTGTGTGTGTGTGTGTGTGTGTGTGTGTGCTGTGGGCTCTGGGACAGAAATCCTGGCCTTTGGACGCAACCTCTTTAGAATCGCTGTTCGACTTCTGTTTTAGCCCACTGGTTTTTACCACTTAACTCAGGCTCTTGGACCTCACGTCATACCAAGTTGGAGAAGTGACCCTAGCTGTCTTCAAGCAAACCTCCAGTTGCAGAGATTTTTTTTTAAGCTGGGGACATCTCTGATGTCCCTCCCTTCAACAACAGCCTACTGCACAGCCAAGCAAGTGTCCGTACACAGAATCGCAGTCACATCAAAGCTCCCGAGTCCGGAAGAGACGTGGACGAGAACCACACTCCAATTCAGGTCCCTAAGTCCCGTGCCCTTCCCAGCTCTGGAGGTAGTCACGGCTCCGGAGAAGGTCGTCTGTTGGGGCGGGTGTGAGCCTCTTCTGGGCCTTCATGAGAGCCGCCAGCCATAAGCTGACTGTGCATTGCAGATCACAGAGTTACAGAGGGGAAAAAAAAAATCAAAATCCGCCAGCAGCTCCGCTCTTGGGCTCCATGACTCTGGGAGAGTCTGAATCCCAGGCTTCATTCAAGTCGCCCCATCCGCGGGGACATGATTTGAGAGGCTTTGAATGACGGTGGTAACTGAACTAAAGGAGTAAACCAACAAAGCTAAGCGCGCGCCCGTGTTTGGTGCTCCAGGCGCCTCCACTGTCCCTCTGCAGGCCCCTCCTAGGGCAGCATCCTCTCTGAGCCCCGGAAGACCTTCCCGAGTTAGCAGAGACAGACTTCTCAAAAAAAAAAAAAAGAAAGAAAGAAAGAAAGAAAGAAAGAAAGAAAGAAAGAAAGAAAGAAAGAAAGAAGGAAAGAAAGAAAGAAAAGAAAGAAAGAAAAGAAAGAAAAGAAAAGAAAGAAAAGAAAAGAAAAGAAAACACTCTTGGAAGCATGGACAGAAAACAAACGCCACGTGCAGCTAGTCACTGAATGCTCCTTAAAACGTTATTTTTGTGTTCTTCTGTGTTGGCGCGCAAGTGCAGTGCCTGCTGGAGTCCAGCAGAGGGCACTGGACCTGCGGGGGACGTGGCTAATAACAGGTGGTTGCGAGCCTCCGGACCTGGGTGCTGGGATCTGAACTCGTGTCCTCCGGCCTGGAAAGGACGCTGTGCTCTTTTACCGGTGAACCATGTCTCTCCCTCCGTTCACCACCACGGTGTTTCTTATTTTCACACGCGTTGTGACTAAGGACAACAATGTCGTCATACCTGACCAAAAAAGGGGAAAAAGCAAAAAACAAAACTGGACAGCACACAGACTAACCACAACAGAGGCGGCTCGGGAACGCGGCCCCGGCGTCCGTGCGATTCCCGGCAGGCATCACTTCTTCGCGTTCCTTCTTGGTTTAGCACACACATCCGTGGGACACAGAACGCTCCCGCGCAGACACGCTCCGGTCCTGCGAGGACCCTAATAATGTCCTTCCGGATCAAATGACGTCTCAGAAACAAGCCTCGGCTATCAAGGTAGCTCAGCGGGTGAAGGTGTTTGCTGCCAAGCCAGTTAGCTGACCTGAGTTCAATCCCTGGAACTGGCATGGGGGGGGGGGGGGGAGAAAGAGGACAGTCTTGCACAAGTGGTCCTCTGAGCACCATGGGCAGATCTGGGCATACACACATGCATGCACATGCCCCAACACACACGCACGCACACACACACACACACATGCCCGAACACACACGCACCCCAACACACACACACACAAACACACACACACACACACACACTCCACACAATTTAAAATTTAAACGAATAAGGAAAAAAATAAAACAAATTTTCTTTTGGTTTTTAGAGACCTGGCTGTCCTGGAACTCCCTCTGTGGACCAGGCTGGCCTCGAACTCACAGAGATCCCCCTGCCTCTGACTCCCGAGTGCTGGGATTACAGATGCACCACGCTACTGCCCAGCAAAAACACAAACCTTTTCCATCAGCATTTTTCAAAACACCAATGCCCCTGGCCTGACTTGGTACATATATTCTTTTAATTCCTGGAATATAGGATATTCTGCTCAAATATGCCACCCCCGCCCAGATACTGTTCCCAGATGAAGTGTTACTGCGGGAATGCGGCCCTGTAAATCAGGACAGGTTTTGTGGTTGTCTTGTACTACCACCTGGTGGTCATTACGTGTACTTACGTCAGGCCTGATGAAATCTGAATTGGCATTCGTTTTTAACAGTTCTTTACAGTACCTCTGTCATTCAGTCTCCCCTGAAAGATCGCTAAGATGGTGCGGAAGGGATTCTTACTGAACCATACCACCCACCTGTCATTTAGCATAAGACATAACCATGAAAAAACGTAAGGCCTCCTATATACCCCAAGCTTAAAGAAAAGAGCAAGGCTTGTCCGAGCAGAGAGTGACCTGGATTTTAATGAAAGTCAACATATCAACACAGAAGGACAGAATTAGGAGTTACGGTTAAGCCTGGGTTTCATCCCCATCGCAGCAGAGTTACCGTAGACTCTAATCTCAGCTCCAGGAAGGTGGAGGCAGGAGGATCAATCGTTTGAGATCGATCAGCTTGAACTACAGGGTTAGTTGGAGACCCTGGAGGCCCTGTCTCAAAAAAATAAATAAAATTATTAAGAGTATTGCTACAAGCCGGGCGTTGGTGGTGCACGCCTTTAATCCCAGCCCTCGGGAGGCAGAGGCAGGAGGATCTCTGTGAGTTCGAGGCCAGTCTGGTCTACAGAGCGAGTTCCAGGACAACCTCCAAAGCCACAGAGAAACCCTGTCTCGAAAAACCAAAAAAAAAAAAAAAAGAGTATTGCTACAAATGAGTGGCTATAAACATTTTCACAGGGTTTCTTGCTATATTTTAGAAATCACATTTATCATTTGTAAAATGTTTTTTATCTTGGGTTTTCCTGATTTTTATATGAACATGAATATTTTATTAAGGATAATATTACATATAATTACATTTACTACAATTATTTGGTCAACACAGGGGAGGGCCTAGGCCCTGCTCCAAATGATATGACAGATTAGATCCCCCATGGACGCCCTCACAGGGGATGGGATGGGAGGGGTCGGTGGGAGGCAGGGGAGGAGGGGAGGGAGAGGGAACTGTTATTGACATGTAAAACAAGCTTGTTTCTAATTTAAATTTAAAAAACAAATATTTGGTCAATTAATACATAGACTGTCCCTTTTATTAATTTGCTTTAATAGAGAAAGCTTGCATTACTGTCAAATCAAAATCACCATCATTTTCTTTGTTCTTTAGAACAGTCCTTTATTTACCAAGTAAATATTACTGTTTTGCGTAGTAATATTTTCTTAGCACTCATTGTTATCGGCTTCTGGCCGCATTCCCCCAAAAAAAAATAACCAGCCCTTGTGGCACTTTGAATATGAAATGCGCCCACAGACTCACGTGCTCTGTTCAGTGCCTGACCCACACCCCTCCTGCCTCCGCCCCAACACACGAACCGGTCACCCTGGCCTGCCACAGAATCTGCCAAGGTTCACCACGTGCTCTATCATAGCAACACCCATCATTACAGGCTCACACACACCACATGCACAAATGTACACACACCCATCACTACACACGCTCACCCACACACAGCACATGCACGATGCATGCACACACAGATGACACACACACACACACACACACACACACACACACACACACCTCTGGTGTGGAACTTTCTTGAGAGGTGGTGGGAGCCAAAATGCAGGGCTCAGCCGGAGGAAGTAAACAGCCCAGGACGAGGATTTGAAGGTCAAACCTGACGCCCAGTCACTTCCTTTCTCCTTCAGCCCTCACCCACCCGTGATGCTCTGCCTGAACGCGTAAAGCCAAGCCCACGGGGACAGAGCCAAGCCCACGGGGACAGAGCCAAGCCCACGGGGACAGAACCCTCTGAAATGTTGAGCTAAATAAATTGTTTCACCGTCCGGCTGTTTTGGATGAGCATTCTGTCACGGACACAGGGAAAAAAAACAACACAGCTGTTGGTTTTTATTACTGTAACCTTTCTGCGGACAAATGTTTTCCTTGGCCTTTGTGTCATTTCACATTTTGTTTCTAATTTATGTTAACCAAATTAATTTATCAAATACCCACATTGATACAATAAAGTTGTTTTCCTTTTTGTCTAAATAACCAATAAATAACCAATAACTCGTGTCTTAGTAACACCCCCCACACACACAACTGACTCCGTGATGGAAGCACCATTCAGGCCACAAAACTCAGTGCACAGACAGCACCACCTGCCAAAATAAAAGCCCATAGTTCCGGGGAAATCTCTTTTGCTTTTTGGCTTCTGTGGCTCTGCTTCTGGCTAACGGTTCTTGTTAAGCGAAGTATGTCAACCCGGGTCTTGGGTGTGTGTGTGTGTGTGTGTGTGTGCGTGCGCGCGCGCGCGTGTGCTTGAAAGTCACCCTGAAAAAGGCTCACTGCTACACAGGGGTCCCCGACACCCAGTGCAGTGTCTGGCCCGCTAACAAAGGCTTCCTATTGGCTTAAACCCATGCCCGAGCAGTCTTTGCTGGTGGGTCCCACAACACTAAGTATTGAGGCTTACTAAGATTCCCCAACAGTAAGAGGCTTGGGAAAACGGGGGGGGGGGCTTAACTGAGGAGTCGGGAGGAAGAGTAACAGACTGGAAGGAGGGACAAACAGCACGGAGGGAGTTTGAAAGAAAACCTCCGGGTGCGTTACTTTATAAGCTTACTTTCCAATACACATGCACGTGTATGCGCATACACACAGGGACGCAGATATGCCACACCACATGAGGTGACACACTCACCCAAGAGTCACGCACATCTAAAAAGTATCCCAGTACCTGACAGGTAAAACCCTCCCCTCTGTGGTCAGAGAGACTCCCGAGATAACACACACGAGTCATCGCCATTGGCCTTGGTCACCTTCCAGAGGTTGGCGGTAAGGCCATATCGCTGAAGACACCGCACGCTTTGGACTCGAGAGGAAGGAAGACAAGACCCAGGATGTTACAGTGACTTCTCAATGCCCAACACGTTTCTCTTCTATGTGGTTACCGCCCCAGAAGTCTTGTCTTCCTTACTCAGCCAAGTTCTAATGTGAAGATAATTGATCTGGGGGAATATATTTGGTTTTTCGAGGCAGGGTTTCTCTGTGGCTTTGGAGGCTGACCTGGAACTAGCTCTTGTAGACCAGGCTGGTCTCGAACTCACAGAGATCCGCCTGCCTCTGCCTCCCGAGTGCTGGGATTAAAGGCGTGTGCCACCACCTCCCTGCAGGCCTATATTTTCTTATCTTCCTTTTCAAACTACTTCGAAAAAGTATTTTTATGGTGCTCCAAGTGTTTGAATGTATACATTATACATTAATCATTCATTTTAAAAACCAGGCATGGTTGTGAATGCTGTCTGTAATCACAGTTCTCCGGGAAGCTGAAGCAGGGGCATCACTGTGAGTTCAAAGGGAGGGAGGGAGGGGACACACCTTACCTACAGGAACTCACTGTTCCACACAGCTCCCATCAGTGTCCCGCCTCTGCCCGTAAGCAGTGCCGGTGTGGGTGGGAGGCGGCCAGTTCAGAACCTCTGCTTCATTTCTGAGGTGAAAATTCACTCTAAAATTTCATCGTGAAGTCCAGCTCCTCGCCTGAGGAAACGCCCTGTTGGACTCGTTTCTGCCTCTGTCTCCCCTGTGCAACCCCCTGACCTCTCCAGTCACCGACCACAGCCTGGTGCCCTGGTCTTACAAAGCTCACCTGCAACCTCCCTGTAATTAGCACCATGGGCTAGGAGGAACATAAAATGTCCTTTTTCTGAACTGAAATCTGCTGAGGGTTTGGGTTTTTTTTTTTTTGACATATTGTATGATTTAAGACATTGAAGGAACTTTAAAAAGATCAAAGCACCTTATTAAAAAATCTCTTATTGGTTATATTTATAAATGCTGGGTTATTGTTTAAATTAAGTTTTCATGTCTTATAATGTTGTGATTTGATAATCTGAGAATCTAAAGTTAGTATTGTACTATTAGGCAATGCTGTTTTTTTGTTTTGTTTTGTTTTCCTACTTCCAGACAAAGCCCTGGCTGTCCTGGAACTCACTGAGTATCGACGAGGCTGACCTAGAACTCAAGAGATCTTCCAGCCTGTGCCTGCAAATCCTAAAATGCAAATCCGGCTTTTTTGGCCTGAGTGGTGGTGGTGGTGTGCGCGTTTTTGTTCTGTTTTGAGGCTGGCCTGGCTATCACTAAGTAGCCCGGGACGGCTGTGAACCCCTCACCTCCCTCAACTGCCTGGTAGTGCAGGCCTGAAGTGTCATACCCCAGTCTTCCTGGCTTCCGACTCTGCTGTGACTGTGTATTCACATTCACCTGGAGCACATGCGGACTCGGTCCTGGTTTGGGCTTAGCTTAGGGTTCCTCATCCGATGGAGGAGGAGGAGGAGGAGGAGGAGGAGGAGGAGGAGGAGGAGGAGGAGGAGGAGGAGGAGGAGGAGGAGGAGGAGGAGGAGGAGGAGGAGGAGGAGGAGGAGGAGGAGCAGGAGCAGGAGCAGGAGCAGGAGCAGGAGCAGGAGCACGAGGAGCAGGAGCACGAGGAGCAGGAGCAGGAGGAGCAGGAGGAGCAGGAGGAGCAGGAGGAGCAGGAGGAGCAGGAGGAGCAGGAGGAGCAGGAGGAGCAGGAGGAGCAGGAGCAGGAGGACCGTATGGCACTCCCTGCATTCTAGGTCTGGGTTCCTCCAGCTCTATGCCCACTCTCGCCGCTCATCACTGACCGAACGCTCCGAGCGCTGGAAGGAAGCGGAGCTGGAGACACAGTTGAAAAAAAAAATCCTTTTATTATCTATTTGCGGGGTGGGATGCTGCGAGCCGAACAACGGGTCCCACAGCAGCACTGAGAGCCGGGCTCCCCCGCGCTGCACTTCTCCCTCCGGCCACACGGCGGCAGGAGAGCGCGCGGCGGCCGTGGTACAGCCCGGCGTCGTCCCCCCCCCCGCGCCCCGCGCACAGTGGGCTCTCCCGGCCGTAGAAAAGCATTGTGGGTCGGCAGAGCCGTCCTTTCCGTGCTCGCCGGGGACGCGCACTCATGGCGGTGCCGGGGGCCGGGGCTTGCGGAGTGGCGATGGCGTCTGGGGTGTCCCCGGCGGCGGCTTCGGGCCGCTGCGGCCCCTTCCCAGGAGGAGGAGAAGGGCGGGCTCGGTGGCCGTGCGAGCGGCCCGCCCCGCGGAGCCCGGAGTGAAGCGGGGGTCGCCGGCGAGCGCCGAGGGTGGGCGCCGGTCTTCGCCGCGTGCACGGCCCGGAGGACGGCGGAGTCGGAGGTGGGACTGAGCCCCGTGCGAGCTCGCGTGGGGGAGGCCAGGCGGGCCCCGCGCGTGCCGCCGCCGCCCTTGTGTTGCCCGTTCGCCTCTGGTCCCTGGCGTACGCGGTGTCGAAAAGGGCGCACATCAATGCTCGGCGGCCCCTCCTCGCCCCGGAGCCGTGCACCTCGGGCGTCGGGGCTGCGCGAGTGACAGCGACTCGTAGTTAACCCCAGCGCGGGTGGGTGCGGGGCCCAACGCCGGGGACGCCGTCGCCCTCCTTTTTTTAAAACTGGTTCCTTCTCCCTCGGCAGGTGGGCGTCTGAGGCTGGCGGGCGATTCTCGGAGTGCGGAGGCGGCTTAAGGTAAGGGGATTGCAAACCACAGGCCTTGGGGATCTAAAAATGCGGGGGGCTTACCCGAAGCTAGCCCGGAAGGGGCTGCGGAGAGAGACACTCTTGCCCCGTTGGCTGGTTTTTACCCATGCTAAAGGCTGTGGTGGTGGATTCGTTAATGAAAAACAGACCAGTAAATAAATGAATTTTTTTTTCTTTCAGGATGTCCTTGATTCTGAAGTTTGACCTTCAGAAACGTGGGTATAAATGTTCTTCCCAGAGGTGTGTCGAGACGCTGCATTGATGATGTTTGTAAGATGAATAAAAACGTGTCATATACCACTTTTGTGTGTAATTTCTCGCTTTGCTTACCGGGGGAAGGACAGACAGCGCACTGGGGGACGCTGCCCTGGGAGTTGGGAGTGAAACATGAAGGGGAGGCGTCCTTGGGGGCTGGAGAGATGTCTCAGGTTAAGAGCACGGCCTGCACTTCCAGAGGTCCTGAGTTTAATTCCCAGCAACCACATGGTGGCTCATAACCATCCGTAATGAGATCTGGTGCCCTCTTCTGGCAGACAGACATGGAGGCAGGATGTTGTATTCATAATAAATCTTTAAAAAGGGAGGGGAGGCGTCCTTTTGAGATTAGTCCTCTCAGAAGGTGCGACCATGTCCTTAAAACCCAAGGAAGCGGTTGGGGGGGGTAGAAGCCTTGGGAAAACAATCGTGTGGGCACCATTGAACGGTGTTGTCGGGTGCTATGGTCCCTGTTCTAGTTTCTGGTTAAAAGTGAAGTTTTTGTGAGACGGGGATGTTAGCAGGAAAGGCTGAATAGGCAGTGAAGAGACCACACCAGTAAGGCTTGGGTTTTATTAAAGCAAGATCAGGAATGACTGGGGAGGTGGGGCGGCGGGTTTTGTCACAGTGAGGTGAGCTGCTGAGGATATCCAGCAGACAAAAAGTACAGCAGAGGAGAGTGTTGAAACATGACTGGATGGAAAGGACCCTTGGGTTTGGCTTTACTTGGGGGATGCGATAAAGGCCACAGTTGTGATTTGGGTGCTGTGGAGAGAATTTGGCAAGCACTGTCCTGCTGAGCAGTCTGCCACAGTTGGGAGGCTTTAACATTGGGATGCTGAAGATGGTCTTCAAAGGGATAACTGGAGGCATTTACCTGGGAAAGTCGTGGGTATCTCCTAAGACCTGCAGAGGCAGGTGATGCCCTGCCTTATGATGTCAAGAGGCTTAGAAAGGGAACAATTTCAAGGAGGCTAGAGACAGCCACAGGGAAAGGGGTCACGGCCGATGACAGCAATACAGGGGGTTCTTTTTAGAGTTACTCCTGAAAAGTCACCTTGTACAAACAGGGAAAGGGTCCAAAACTTCAGGTACATGAGTGTGTTGGGCAGGTAACAAGGTCCTAACGGGCTTTTTTTTTCTCAGTAAACAAAACAAGGACACTTGAATTCAAATCAACACTTAACAGCTTTTTACAATATTTGTAAATAACCATTGGGACTTAATGCCGCAAAATACAATATCACAAACAGCTTGATGGGGTTGGGTCATGACAGTCTGCAGTCCTGCAGGGACTGCATCAGAAGCACATGTGGTCTTGGCTGTGGTGGAGATGAGCTGCATGGACTTGGATGGGTTTCAGGTAAGACTGACATCCGGTGAGTTCATAAAGTCCTTCCAGTCAAAAGGCCCCACAGCACAAAAACGCCGTGCTTAATAAGCCCTTTAAAAATGTTGCTTATGCTGAAGAGACATGTCCAAGATAAGTGGATAGTTAACCTAATTCACAGCTTCAAAAGTTACCAGTGGCACTGAATTTCCATTCCCACCCTGTGCCCCTTAACCGGGTCAAGTCTCTGTCTTGAGGCGGGCAGCCTGGATAGTCTTTATTGTTTTTGCTGTATGTTTTCCAGTCAGATTGATTGTAGATAGCTGAGACTTTTTTTCAATTAGGCTGTCTTCAGACCCATTTCTTCTCTAGAAAAACATTTGATAACAAAACAATCAGATTAAGAACTTTCAGAAACAGACCAGAAGCTGGGCAGAGAGGGTCTCACTTGTATAAAATCTTGGGAAGAGAGCAAGTCCAGCCTGAGCTACATAGTGTGGCCTTAAGTTTATTCATTTATGGTGTTGCAAGTTGTAATTACGAAAAGAAAAGTCTATGATACCGTTTGCAAGCTCCCTCTACTTAACTGCAAAATCAAATACGTTAATCTTGCTCTGACAAGATTGGGTACACATCCGTTTTATTTCTTCAGGCTTTCTTTTCAGAGCAAGGCCTCTGTCACCCTGTGAAACAGTTACTAAACTGCAGTCACTTAAGAGTTCCCCGTCATCCGGAACTGAGTGTCACTGTCAACAGGGTCAGGAGCCTGGAAGAGAGGTTAACTGACCTCCCTGACCCTGGACACCATACCCAGGACTTGTGGAGTCTGGACTTGCACACGACCCATTAATTAGGTCAAATGGAAACCCAAGGATGCCTCTACAGCTAGCTCTCTGCATGCCTCCTAGGGGTGACTGAGTTTGCTATGACTTCTCCCAACCATATGCATAAGCATTTCCAGGCTGGCCTTCCCTTTGCTGTGGAGGACAGCGACATCAGGACCTAAGGACTTTCTGTTTGCCATCCCTTTAACAAAGCTGTGCCCACCGTCATTTCTCCAGCTTGAAAAAATACCTTAGAGCACTTTCTTTTCTTTTTAATCAGTGAAGCACTTATTTCTAAAGAATTCCCCTTAGCACCGCCCTCCCCTCCCCCCACCTTCCCCTCCCCCCCAAGTGCTTGGGGCCCTGGACCACTACCTCTAAATTCCAAGTGACTCTTTGGAGGCTGTGCCCGTGGCTTCTAATCACACCCCTCCTGCTTTCAGATTTTTACATGTGGGTTTGTTTGTTTGTTTGTTTTTGATAAACCGTATGGAATTAAAGGCTCACTGCTCAATGTATCCAAAGGAACTCCCAAAAGCACAAGGTGGATGTTTCCCAAACTCCTCACAGCTGCTTGCCCCTGAGCACACCTCTGACCCTGGCACTTTGGAGGCAAAGGCAGGCAGATTGTGTGAGCTCGAGGCCAGGCTGGTCGACACAGGGAGTTCCAGGTCACCAGTGAGAGCTATAAAGTGAAATCCTGCCTCACACACACAAAAAAATTATCTGTTGGGCTGGCAAGATGGCTCAGTAGGTAGAAGCCATAGCAGTTTAATCCTGATCTCAAACCTGAGAATCCATGTAAAACAGTCCTCGAAGCAGGTCTCTGACCACACACACACACACACAGAGAGACAGAGAGAGAGCGCATGCCCATATACATCATGCACACACACAATAAAATGCATATTTTTTAAATAGTCACCAGAGGGACACCCTAAAACCTCACTAACCTGATGCACTGTGGAGCCACCAGACCCCTGAGCGTCCGAGGATCGGGTCACTGGAAGTGGCGGTACAAGGCCTGCTTTTGAGCTGCCATAGAGAAAAGTGTCAGAACTTGTGAAGAAACAGGACGGAACCCATCATCTCACACTCCTCTGGGGCAGGGAGCTCTGCGGGCTGTCTCTCGTGGAGGAGCCCAGAGAACGACACTGCTCCCCGGCCTGGACACTTACTTCACTTCCGAGAGAACAGAGCGCTCTCCGTCTGAACACTGGGATCGGCGGTACTGCCTGTAACTCCGCGGAGAATGGGAATGCCTGATGCGGACTGGGTCGCCCTGAGTCCTGAGAGGACAGGGACAAAGCAGGGAGACACACTCAAAGTCAAAGCAAGAAAGCAGGCGGCTTTTCCTGAACGTTAAACTGTAAAAACGGAACTTTCAGACTGCCTTTGATTAGTCTAGTTTTCACTTTGTAAGTGGATTTCGCTTGATGACAGGGTCTCATGAAGTCCAGGCTGGCCTCAGGCTGGAACTGGTTATAAGGCTGGAGACCAAGCTGGCTTTGAACTGGAGTCAATCCTCCTGCTGCTGCCTCCCAAGGTCGAGGACCAGAAACCGGAGCCACCACACAGAGAATAGTTCTAGATACGCCTTCTACCTCTTCCCTCACATTAATCTTTGGTTACTGTACTAACTGAAACGCTGCATGGGACACAAAGAAAGGATGGGCGGTTCCCTTCTTGGTGGCCTGAATGGGAACGGCCCCCACGAGCTCGTGTCTGAAAACTCGCTGGTCCTGCCACCCTTGGTCTGCTGTGCCAGACTCCTGGCTGGACCCTAAGCCTCTGAAACCATAAGTCAAATCGAACACCTCCTTTTCCTAGCTTCCCCTGACCGCGGTGCTCTGTCTCGGCGATAGAAATGAAGTGACATCAGTAAAGCTGTGCAAAGCGTCTCAGAGCGGACTCACTCCACTTTGGTGTAGGGGATCTCTTTCAGCTGCTCCTCTGACAACCCAGACGGGTCCACGAGTTCCTTCCTAGGAGAGAAAACGCAATGAGGTCAAAGCTGTCAGGCCTGCGCGCATTCTAACGCCTCTCCCAAAAGGCGAACTTCCCCTTCCTGCCCTTGTCTCAAAACGTGGGGCTGGTAAAAGCAGTATTCGCTACGATGTGCACAAACCTGAGGAGACCAGATTGCGTTCAAGGACACATGGGGGAAACCCTCTCCTGGAGCTCTTCCCTCCTTTCTGTACCCCACACTCTCCAGGCCCCCATCTCCCCAGCGGCAAGCTGCCCTCCTGTGGCGGGGCGGGGGTCTTTCTTCCCTATATGGATTTGCTTCTTGCTGTGAATACTTGTAATTCTTCCTACGGCCGACTAAAAGCTGCGCATATCATGCTGGACAGACGGCTCAGCAATTAAGAGCACAGCACTGGCTGCTCTTTCAGAAGACCCCAGTTCAGCACCCAGCACCCGCGTGGAAGCTCACAACCATCCGTAACTCCATTTCCATGGGGTCCAGCATCACCAGGTACACACATGCATACATGCAATGCATACATGCAAGCCAAAAACACTTGCAGGTGCGTGTGTGCATGTGTGTGTGTGTGTGTGTGTGTGTGTGTGTGTGTGTGTGTGTGTGTATGATATGTACATAGATATTCTAAACTGGACACGTGGGGGAGACCGGATACTCAATGGATGTGTATGTGCGTGTGTGCATGTGTTGTGTGTGTGTGTGATATGTACACAGATATTCTAAACTGGACACGTGGGGGAGACTCGATATTCAATGGATGTGTGGCGTGTGCCTGTGTGTGCGCACACGTGTGTGTGTGTGCGCACATGTGTGTGGGGAGACCCTACTCACTGGATGTGTGTGTGTGTGAGTATGGGGAGTCTCACTACTCACTGGATGTGTGTGTGCGTGTGTGTGGGGGGGG